CGGCTTTTTTTAACAATTTTTGAATATTTTTTTTGAATAGTTTTAGTTTTCTCCCTCTATTTTTGTTTTGTTTTTAATACATTTATAATTGTGTTACAATTTTTTAAATCTAAAAGACATTGTTTGTCATTGTAGTAATGTACAAATATTTTGGTACTATTAAATTAATCTCTTGACAGATGTAAAAAGTGTTAAAACAACACTGCCTATTATTTGGTAAACAAAACATTTTCTTGAGAATTTCATAATATCTTGATAGCTTATTACCGTATAGACAGATTCTTGTTCTCATTCAGCTTTTAGTATTATAAGAAAAATAGTTTCAAATGAATTGTGAATAAACGCCATTGTATTGTAAAATAAATGAAATATAAGATGAAATAGGTTACAACTAAGTTGACAGTTCAAAAAAAGAAATTTTTTACCAGTATGATTAGAAGTAAGGTTGAGACGTCCGGCACGGAGCTTGGACTCGTAGAGTAGAGACATGGGAGCTGAGTTTGGTATGATAGACTTAACGCCATGGAGGATCATCCGAGATTCCCCGCCAAATATCAACACATCTCCAGATTCTAATATTACTCCTTCAGCTTCCTCAACGTCTCTCCTCTCTCCGTACGAAAAACTCTGCAGAATCACCTATGGAGAAGGAGACAATTGGTAACCCTTTTATTATGCTCTCTTGGCTTTCGTCTCAGTCCTGCCATTATTACACCAAGATTCAAAACCGCATTCATTACTGCGGACATGAGAAGAGAACCCTTCAGTGAGAGGTTTAAAGTCTGCACACCTGATGGAGACCAAGTCTTCCAGTTTCTGAGTAGAAGTTGACTATACAAATGTCTGGTGACATCACTGGAAGTATCCTCTCCGCATCTTCTGCTCCTGATTCTCTTACGATGAGAGCATGTGCTTCTCGGATAGCCTGTTCTACCAAGACACTGAATGTGTAGAGCATGTAGAGCTCATTTCTTTTCTGTTATTTCTTGGTAAACTAGAGCTCTTTACTTTGCTCAAAAATAAGATAGATATATGTGTAGATTAGGTTGATTTTCACAGTTTTACCTGTACATGATGCGAGAGGAAGCCCTTAAGCAGAACCATTCCAGGCCTTAGGACCCTGTGTTTGTTATTGTTACTAACTTCAACAGTTTCCCGGTTTGCTTCTTGCTCCAAAACCATGGTGTTGTGCTTGAATCGTTTCTTTTAAGGACAGAAGAACAAATGTGGAAAAGAGAATCATGTCTCCTCTTAGGACTTATCTTGTTACATGCCGAAACTCTGTGATTCCTGTCCTTGGGGGATTTCCAAACTTGAGATTGTGAAGTCTTGGTGGGATCAGTACAAGTGTTGGTAGAATCAAGAGCAACCATACTTGTTCGTGAGCCATTAGAACCCTTATGCTCAAGAGTTGTCCCAATGACTTCTCCCTCTACTAAGCGCAAAGACTGTCGTCTCCGCCGCGTCGGTAATTGATCCCTATTTTTACATACCAAATTCCTCTGCAAAGACAAAGCATCCTTACCGGTTGACCAGTTTTGAAAAATTGTGAACTCTATCAGATGGGGTACAAGGAAGATCAACCTGGCTTCTTGGTGAAGCAATGTTGTTCTCAGAGCAATTGCTCGTTGAATGATTCAAGCGATGTAGTCTGCTTTTAACAACAGAAATCAACACATTAATACTATATGTGTTCTTATAGATACACGAAGGATAATCTCTAAACAGGGGAGAAGCATTCTCAATCAAATTCAGGAATGGTCCAAACTCATCCATTACTAGATTAAGAAAGAAAAAAAGGAAGATCAATTGCAATTTGCAAAGCAATAAACAACGATCACTCACTTGCTTCGGAGAGTGACTAGAAGAAGAACTCATCATCTTCTTCGCCGCCGGAGAGCACAGTCCAAAGAGGAGGATGTGGTGGCGGGGATAAAGATTAAACGAGCGACAAATAGACTTCATAGTAATTGAAGCACCCTCGATTCATCGGCGGCGGTAACCGTCGCATCGTCTTCTACGACGTCGGCGAAAAGCCCTTCCTTGATTAAAATAAAATAATTTTATATTCCGAAAACACACAATCAGTAATTTAATTACGTGGGTCTATGGGCCTCTCGTTGGCTAAAGGGCCTTTCACATTAATTTGCGGGAGCGAAATCAGTTTTATACGCGCGGGTTTGAGGAAAGTATCGAACACGCCCCAATGGCAGCCGCCGACACCTTCCTCAACTTTATTAATTAACTCACAGTGTGTCTTTTTTTTAGTGTTAAATTTTGTTTACGTGTCACGGTCAGTATTTGTAATGTACGTACAGTATTGAAGACTAGGAGAATAAAAGTAGATTAAAATTTGACTACAAAACCAGATAATAATTGAAAGATGTATAAATAAAATAGTCCACAGTTTTATCTTTTTAAAAATGACCGAACGATAAGATTTTTAGCAATTCCACTGGTCTGTCTGATTGTAGAAAACCAATCATGTTCGACCAAAACAAAAATCAATTAAGAAAAAACACAACCACCAAACCCCATTAATTTGCATGTGTGTTTCTTTGCTTGGAAGACAGCTAAATTTAACACAATAGAAGATTAGAAGGCTTGTTCAAACTCTCTCACCATTACTATTTACACGGAACCATATACAAATATAGATATATCGAGTACTTGCCAACAACACTTGTGAAAGATTAGCAATTCACTAATTAAACCAGATGAATGCGACAGTTATAAACAACTAGTAATTAATCTTCTGATCAATCACGTAACTCTTGCAAGTAACTGTGCAAGATGGAAAGAAAATAAAAGTATGATAGGATTTGGAGCTGCATTGCCGACACATCTGATTAGATATTATAATAATACGATATGGAACACAAAATAGTATTATAAATTACATGAGAAGCTTTAAAAAAAAAAGAAAAACATGTTTGTAAAATTTCCACGGTTTTATTTTGCAAGATCTTGGAGGGAAATTAGCAGATGAAACAGCTGCGGATACGGAAGCAAGAGGAGGATTGTGATCTACGAATGGGGAATTGCTCAGCAGAAGAAGAGTCGAATGATGAAAATCTCCGCATGGCCTTCCTTTCTGTCTGAAACTTGAACAGATCGTACTCGTTCTCTTCTATCAACACCCTCTCCGACATGGATGCTGGTGACGAAGCCGACAGTTTCTTCGCCTTGCTCCCATTATGTTCTCCCGACGATAGCCAGAAGAGCCTTGTCGGGATTAGTGCGAGGATTTTCTTGGTGGATTTCTTGGAACCGCGCCGGCTTTGGTCGCCTGAGAATGGGAAATGAGACGGCGGAGGAGTGAGAGGTGGCAGAGTAGGTAGTTCGGAGGAGGGGTGCTTGGGTGTGCCTGGATGAGATTCCCATTCGAAAGGGACAGAACCGGCGGCTCCGTCGTAGTAGTAGATTCTAAAGGAAGGACAAGCTGGTGCTGCCGTTGCCTGCGACGAGAAGCGTTGTTTGGTCGACGATAGCTTGCTGGAGAAGGTGGCAGTGTCTTGCTTTCTCACTGACGCATCCCGCTCAGATCCACTGTTTGGCATTATTGTCTCGGGAGAGCGAAAGAGAGAGAGAAAGAGAGAAAGAGAAGATTATTTGTGCATGAGAGAGGTATGGAATCTATCAAGTATATATGGTGTGGTTGGTGCCTAGAGCTAAGTGTCTTTGGTACGCAGGGTTTTTACTTTTGGCCTTATGTGTTTCGCTTTGGCTGGTGTCTATAGGAGAGAAGCATAATGCAACATTCATGACAATGAAATAATTTTTGTGCGGTTAATTAGCTCCCATGGTTATACAACTTTAGAAAGATAATATATATATATATATATCTCAAAGTCAAAAGTGTTATGGTCCAATCCTACGTACCGAGGCAATAAACAACCAGTCGATGGATAAAATCAGAAACTTATTTAGACCCTTGAACTATTAATTCAGAGGCAATCACCAACCATTCAGACGCCACCTCATACAGTCGCATATACTATATGAATGATCAGGAGAACAAAAGACGTCATAATCACTGGAAGATATTTGTATGAAATGTGAATATAATAGCCATCACGATTCATCCATAAAGAACATATAGTATTATATATACTTGCATTACTAATTACACAAAGAAGCACCCGAGGGTTGAGTTTTTCGGAGAAGCATTTATTTAAAGAGCAGGGGGAGGGCATGGCCATATTATATAACCAGCTGAAAAAAAAAATAGTAGAATAATTGTGTGGAGATTGTAATTAAAATGGAAAGCAGGGAGGAGTGACTAAATTGAGCAACGACGGACGACCCATCATGCCAATGCCATCATCGTACATGTGCTCCACGTAACCACAGGGGGCGTTGTTTTCCCATGGTCGGTCCATTCTATCGCATTAATATCTTTCATTAATTAGAATACATACATACGTATCTTCATTATATATATTACGTTGCTTCAACATCCCGAAACCCCTAAAAACCATTACTAGACAAACACAACATTCAGTGTTATGATTAATTAGTTGAGTGTTAGTAAAAATGGATAAAAGATCATTTACACGTGCACGTCTGTGTTATATAATAATACTATAGAAGTAGAACAAAACAAATATATAGTTCTCATAAACAATTTGCTAAATGAAATGATTAATGCATTAAGGAGGTGGATTAGATGATCTGAATGTACATGATGGCGATTTGAATGAAAATAGCGAGCAGCGTTGGTCTCCATCGTTAGAGAGATTACAGCATTAATTAATTAATCAAGGTTAAGAAGACTGAACACGAAAACATAATTACATTTGGTCCTTTCCCTAAACGAAAATGAGAGGAAGTGAGGAACGATTTTTGTTTAGAACACTCTTTAGTTATTTTTTTAATTATTATTATTGTTCAAAGAACATCCTGTAGGTTTGTTACTTAATTAATAACTAGATTATGACCCGCGCTACAGCGCGGAGGAAATAATTACATATATATAACTTTTAACGAATTAAAATATGTTACACTTTAATTTTATTGTAGTGCAATCGATTACGGTGAATCATATCATTGTATAATAAGTTTAAATAAAATCATAAGGAAAAAGCGCGCAAATAATCATATATTGAGTTTTGATACCATTTTTGTAGTAGAAGTAGGAATATACGTAAAACTTACATATTTTACAATATATTTTTTGAATGACCAACTCGTAACAGAATTCATTTCGTCAAAAACATTATTCATAACTCGCTTTAGAATTATAATTGTGATTTTAACAAACTACCCGTGAACTATCTAAAATTTATATAGTTTGATATATAATATATTTTATCAATAAAAATTATGTTTCCAAAAAAATATTTTCAATATTTTAAATTCTAATTTTTTATATATATTTGAACATTTTAATTATAATATTTTGAAACTTTCTGAAATTTTAAATATGCTCATGTAACAATGGTTTTAATATTTGTTATACTTATAATTATTTTAAACCATTTTTCAAAATATTAAACGGAGTGTGGTTACGTATTATATGTTCGTTTTGAAAAATTTAAATTGCAACATATGCAAAAAAAAGTTAAATTTTTATTAAATATTTATATTATATAGTATAATATCATAAATTAAAAATAAGATCAAATAAAAGTGAAAGAAGAAAAATAAATTTTTAATAGATTATATTAAATTAGTTAGAGAAATATTAGGAAATCATAAAATTAGTTATGGAAATAATACAATCTTTATATTAGATATGGAAAGTATTTGATGTATGTATCCAAACCCAGTTTAATATCCAATTTTGAAGTATCCAATTGTTAAAATCGAATTGTTTAATTTTGACCCGACCCGTATTCTATTTTGTACTTCTCTTTTACTAATATAGGGATACGTGTAGAAAAAAGAGAAACGACCAATCATATAATTCTGGTAAAAACTACAAAGCCTGCGCCCCCTACTTGTAAATTAACATAAAAACAAAATATATATATATCTATTGAGGGGAAAACAAAAAAAAAAAAAAGAAGATAGAGGAGTCATCTTCGTCTATCGATTGGTTGCTCTCTGAAAATTAGCGACCAGGTTGACGGACGAAACATCTCTGCCAGGTTTGGTCTGAGGCCGATCAAGTAAGCTCTTCTTCTTTTTTCATCTCTCCCATATGTTTTTGATTGTTTGCTTTATATATCGAAAGATCCAGTCTATACGAATTGACTTTTTAAGATTTGATTTTTAAGAAAACATCTGGCCTCTATCTATCTGTTTCGCTTTTTGAACTAGTTTTTGGTTTTGATTATTTTGAATTATGATTTGATTACAGCAGATTCAGGAGGCATCATGGGCGGTAGATCTGGAGTCATAGTCCTCTTCCTCTTGGGGTTGACATGGTCTTCTTCTTGTGTTGCTGCTACTAGAAACCCCATCCTCCTTCTCGGTTCGGTCCTTTCTTTTTATATCTCTCTTCGTTGCAGCTATAAGCATTCATTCATTTCTCTCCTGTGATACATAATGTACTGGAGAGTTTGATCTAATCTTTAATAGATTGTATGATTTGCAGAATCTGCTCATGATAACCAAGTTTGTCAACTCTGTGACAAGTATGTTTCCCTCGCCATTGATTACCTCCAAGATCACGACAATCAGGATGCACTCGTCCAGGCGCTTCATATCAGCTGCTCTCAGATTCCTCCTCTCCAAAAACAGGTCTTCCCCTCTCTCATTGGGTTCTCTCTTTTGGTTCTGTTTTTTTTGTGCTTTTTATATCTCTATCAACTCATCTCTGTCCACCCTATTTCTTTGTTTGTTGCAGTGTCTTTCAATGGTAGATCACTATACCCAGCTCTTCTTCACACAAGTCTCTGTAATCAAATCTGGCCAAATCTGCAAAAAGCTTAACCTCTGCCAGATAGTGACTGCGGATTTTGTTTCACAAGTCCATCAAGAAAACTGCGACGCTTGCCGCCAGACTGTCTCTGAGGTTGTCGCCAAACTCAAGGATCCTGAGACCAAGGTTTGCACCTTTCTTGTACTATTATCATTTCATAACTTATACAATCATCTCAGTAGAGAGAGCGCGGTATTGCTGCTGATCAGATAAGGCTATTTATTCTTGGTCTTGCAGCTGAAGATAATCCGCTTACTTCTGAAGGAGTGCAAGTCGCTAAACAATTACCAGGACAAGGTAAGCTAACTAAACAACTTTGTTGTACAAACAACATAAAAGGGAGTTTTGTGAGAGTAAAAATATTATGGGATCAGATAAATGATGTTTGATGGTGCTGAACAGTGCAAGAAGATGGTGTTTGAGTACGGGCCTCTGATGCTAGTGGATTTGGAGAAGTTTCTGGAAAACAAAGACGTCTGCTCTATACTCCGAGTCTGTCCAAGTCAATGGGCCACCCAAGGTGTCTACTACATTCCTGCCATGGAATCGGAGGCATTGGCAGATTCGTAAAATTGGCAGTCTTGTTTCCGTTTGTCATTCACACATCCCATGACCCATGCCATCGTCGTTAAAGCTGATTTTAATTTGGTAAACTGATGATTATGTAAATTATTACTGATGTAAAGAAAAAAGAAAAAAACATAAAACGAAATTCTTGTGTGGTTTGAAAAATGCTTAAGGCCCATTGTCCATTAATGGGCTTTTGGTTAATAATTAATTTTTGGCCTTATTGTATGTATCTCTGCATCATCTTTGAATTTGTTTTACCATCTTTAATTCTTCTTCTACTACAAAAGGACCGAAACGTTCGTTACCCAAAGCCAAGCAGCTCGGTTTCTTTTGGAAAACATTTTATGTTCCAGGCTACGTCGTAACGTAACGGTCTCACATACGAATAAATAACAGACACGTGTAAAATGACAAAAGAGAGAGAGAGAGAGAGAGAGCAAGTTGTAATTTGACACCGTATCTCCTAAAGCTAACGTTGGAGGATATTCCCGCTTACGTGGCACCTCATCACTGGGTACACATTATCTCAACCTTTCAACAAACACACTATTATATGTCTAGTCAGAAATGCGTAAAAACAAAATCTGTTGACTCATCTGTGGTGGGGTAAAAAATAAAGACGATTTTGTAACCATATTTGTTATGTAAATTGATGAAAGCAAATCCTCTAAAAGGGGAAATATCAAATTAGATGAAAACGATAAAACCGTAAAGGCATATCCATAAAATGGAATCCCTCGTATAGCTGGAAATATATATATATATATATGTACTTATCTCTTAAAGGTGGAAAAAAGGGGTTGGTTAGTGTGGGTGTGGGGTAAAAAACAAAAAGAAGATGACGATGAAAGATAATGAAGACAAGTGATAAGTTATTATATAATGAAACAGAAAAACCCAAGTTGATTAGTAGTAACCAATAAGCAGCAATTAGCACAAGACACACGTCAGAATAGACGAAAAAAAAAGAAAAAAAAAAAGGGTTAATTAGCGAAGAAGCAGAAGCAGCAGTAACAGCCAAAAAGGAAAACAGGTTGGCTGTTTCGTGTTAATTAGAAAATTGGGCAAAATCCTTTTTGCCAACTTGCTCCGTTTGGTCCGCCGCTATATATATATATATATAAATACAAGGAGGAGGAGTTACCTAATTGTGTTTTCCTTTCCTCTTTTTCGTTTCTCTCTATCATCGCTTCACCAAACCTTGTCCTCCTCTCCTCCTTCGCAGCACATCGGATCAATTTCAGGTAATACACATATACTTGTTCTCATTTCGATGCTATTGTGGTTTCTCTTTTTATGGATCTCGGTGCTCGTATTCCACGAATTTTACAAATCTAGATTTCCATCCATTGATTGAGATTACTAAATCCTTCTTTTTTGTTTCTCTGGATCTGATTCTCTTTGCATCTGCCTGTTTATGATTGCGATTTTCCTGGTGTGTTTTTGTTTCATTTCGGGTCCAAAACCGTGTTGGGTTGGTGTTATTTAGTTGGAGTTCGTGTTTTTGTTTTTCTTCTCAAGAGTGTTTCAAAATCTCATCTCTCTGGTTATTGTATAATTTGCAGGTTTGTTTGATTGCAAAATTCGAAACCAGGGAATGCAGAAACATGTATTTGAAAGCTGAACACAAGTGCTCTACAACACCCTTGGACATCCCTCGTCCCTTTGGGCCCTTGTCCTCCTCGCTCGTCCCCCATGACACCCGCTCTCTAAACCGCCGCACCACCACCCTTCATCTTCACCCCTGTTTCCACACCTTCCAGCCCTCCTCTTCTCAGAATGCTAGAAAAAACGCCACTTGGAAGCATGATCTCTGCGAAGACGGTTGATCGTCTTCTCGCCTCCTGAGTTCATCAATCTCTCTTACATTTCTTTATATATATGTTGTCAGCATTTTTTTAGTATATTTCTAGGGGTTCTTTTAAAAAAAAAAAAATAGAGTCGAGTCGTGCTCTTCTAAGCTAATCAGTGAGCGAGTCAATGGAGAAGAAAGGGTCTGTCCTCATGCTCCGTTACGAGGTCGGCAAGTTTCTTGGTCAGGGTACCTTTGCTAAGGTGTACCATGCCAGGAATCTGAAATCTGGTGATAGTGTTGCTATCAAAGTCATCGACAAAGAAAGAATCCTCAAAGTTGGTATGACCGAGCAGATTAAGCGCGAGATCTCTGTCATGAGACTCTTGACGCATCCAAACATCGTCGAGCTCCACGAAGTCATGGCCACTAAATCTAAAATCTACTTCGTCATGGAGCACGTTAAGGGGGGTGAGCTCTTCAACAAAGTTTCTACTGGGAAGCTTAGTGAGGACGTTGCGAGAAACTACTTTCAACAACTCGTACGCGCCGTCGACTACTGTCACAGCCGCGGAGTATGCCACAGGGACTTGAAGCCTGAGAATCTCTTGTTGGATGAGGAAGGGAATCTTAAGGTCTCTGATTTTGGTCTCAGCGCTCTTGCCGACTCCAGAAGGCAAGATGGGCTGCTGCACACCACGTGCGGGACCCCTGCATATGTTGCGCCAGAGGTGATTAGCAGGAACGGGTATGATGGGTTTAAAGCCGATGTCTGGTCCTGCGGTGTGATTTTGTTCGTCTTGCTCGCCGGTTACCTCCCTTTCCGTGATTCCAATCTGATGGAGCTGTATAAGAAGATTGGCAAAGCCGAGGTCAAGTTCCCCAACTGGTTTGCTCCTGGGGCAAAGAGATTGCTGAAGAGGATCTTGGATCCTAACCCGAACACGAGGATATCAACTGAGAAGATTATGAAGAGCTCTTGGTTCCGCAAAGGCCTGCTGCAAGAGTCGAAGAAAGGGGCGGTTGATGAAGAAGAAGAGACAGAAGTGGACGCGGAGGCAGAGGCAGAGGCAAGTGTGGAGAAGGAAAAGAAGCGGTGTATCAACCTGAACGCGTTTGAGATAATATCGCTGTCGACGGGGTTTGATCTGTCGGGGCTGTTCGAGAAGGGAGAGGAGAAGGAGGAGATGAGGTTCACAACAAACAGAGAGGCGTCAGAGATAACAGAGAAGCTGGTGGAGGTAGGGAAGGAGCTAAAGATGAAAGTGAGGACCAAGGAACAAGGATGGAGGGTGAAGATGGCGGCAGAGGCTGTGGTGGTGGAAGCGGAGGTGTTTGAGATAGCGCCAAGCTATCACATGGTGGTGCTGAAGAAGAACGGGGGAGATACAGAGGAGTATAAGAGAGTCATGAAGGAGAGTATAAGGCCGGCTTTGATCGACATTGTATTGGCTTGGCACTGAAGCATATACAAATTCTTTCTATGGAGTATTCTTGATTGTTTTAACCCCAAGTGTTTAGTGTTTTTTATGTATCTGAGGTCTTTGTTTTCTTGTCTTGGAGGTGTGTTGAGTGTAACAATAATGATGATGAACTCATGAATTATAAGAGGAGGAACTGTTATCTTATGTCAGAGCGAAAATTACTACTAGTATTCTAATAGATCACACACGCGTAAAGGAAGCAGACTTCCGTTGTTGTATTATGATTTTCTTATCGTTTCGTTGTATTACGTTTTAGTCTTCTTTTTAGGTGATGATGATACGTTAAAAGTTTAAACACATAACCAAGAGAAGAAGTCTTTTTCGTGTGTCCGTTTCACAAAGTCAAAGATTATACTATTTTTTCCTATTTGAGCCACATGACATAATTAATTTGTGAATAATAAAAGTCTGTTTTCTACATTTCTTCATACGAGAGAAAGCGATCTTGTCGATGGTTGGATGGTTAAGATTGGCCCGATTCGGAAAACAAAGGACCCAAAGCTCATTGAATTTACGGCATCTAGTGGACCACGCTCGGCCCATAAACGGGATATACACACCACCACACATTTATCAATCAGTCGGTCAAATCTAAACCTTTCTTTACTCTCTCATCTATGGGGCTTTGCTTAATCCGGTTGTTTTTAGTGGGACACCAAATTGAATTGAAGGAGAACCACCCAATTTAAAGACTCTTTTAACCCTGACAGCTTCTTTTCATCTCTCGACATGTTGTAACAAAGCACACAATTAAGAAGTTAAGTTAACCCATCTTTGAAGCGCTTGAAAAGTATTTAAGATATGATTTGTGTCATTGTGTGTGTAAACTGGATAGAACATGATCTGTGGAGCCTACAAAAATGATAGCATTGAAAAGGGGGATATGTTAAATTTTCAGTAATTATGTAACTGCTAAAAGTTGAATTATTGAATAATGGGTTCAAAGTGGGATTACCATGAAAGAGGAATGATTTGATGATCATTATTTTGTGTATTATTAATTATATTATATATATACCACATGCCATAGTACTATAGTAGCAGTGAGTAATGTATGAAAGTCCACCAGCTTTTTTTATTTATTTATATAGGATTAACAAATGGAGTTTCATCGATCAGTTTGCTTTGTTCATGGCTCTCTCAAATATGCACAGTTGGCTTTCACCTATTATGATTGACTTTGTTGGTTGTACTTGCAATCTCGCAGCAGTGTTATTACCATCTCTTTTTCTAGATTCAACCTTTATCTAAATATATATAAAAAGGTGTATATGTATGTTAATTAAATTAGTGTGGTCGATATTAAATTAGCAAATCCAAGAGAAATAAAAAAAAAAGAGTAATGGTTAAGACTCAAGAGACATATAAAGGTAAGAGTGTCTTATACACATAGGCTTGCAAGCTTCACATCCGCGTTACGTTAGATCAGCAGAGTGAGGGGTTTGTTGTTTGATCCATGAATTCGGGCACTGAAGATTCCTTTTTTTTTTTTTTCATTCTTTCGTTCCATTGATGTAGTAAGTAATTATGATTACATAAGAAGAACATAGATAGATAGATAGATATTTATACCAACTAAATATATAATTAATTAACGATTTCATCTCTTATATTAAGTCAGAGATATATAATTAATATACTCCATGGGGCAAAAACAATTACAGATAACCCCGGGATATTATTATTTGGATAATTTTGTTGAGAGAGTTAACCTCCCTCGCTTCTAAACTAGAGCGACGTCGTATTTACTTGGGATGATGGTTCTAGATCCGACTGGTCCGGTTGGTGCAGGATCGAGAGGAAGTAAGGGGCGAATGTATCCTTCCATAGATCGCGTCCAGATGCAGCTGCTCTTTGCCTCTTCCTCACCTCGACCATGACCAGCTCGTCCGTTAGCTGCTTTATCTCAACCACCATTGCGAAATTACCCTTTTGCCCTTCTATCTTCATCCCCCACGCCTCCTTTTTCGCCACCGTCAGATTCTCCGCCTCCGCCATCTCTTCCAGCTTCTCCACCACCCTCTCCGCCCTCCACGCCGACACGAACCTCTCCACTCTGTCGTACTTTCGAGCCTCCCCGAACAGACCGGCGAGATTGAACCCCGGCGATCCTGAGATGATGTCGAAGGCGTTCATCCTCCTCGCTCCCGTCTCTTCCCCCGGGAGTTTCATATCGGAGTCTTCCAGGTGGAATTTGGACATCCGATCGTCGTATCCCTGCCTGAACCACGGATCGTGGATGATCTCTTCGATCGTGATCCTCGTAAGCGGGTTGGTGTCCAAGAGCCGGGTCAGAAGCCGCCGGAGATCCGGCGAGGTCCACTTGGGGATGCGGAACTCTCCCTTGTAGATCTTGCGGTACATGACCATGAGATTGTGGTCGTTGAAAGGGAGATAGCCTGCGTTGAGGACGAAGAGTATGATCCCGCATGACCAGACATCGATTTTGGCACCGTCGTAGCCTTTCTTCGCCAGAACCTCGGGCGCCACGTAGGCCGGCGTGCCACAGAGGGTGTGGAGGAGACCGTCGGGTCGGATCTGATCGGTGAGAGCGCTGAGTCCGAAATCGGAGATCTTCAGATCGAGCTTGTCGTCGAGGAGGAGATTCTCGGGTTTGAGATCACGGTGAAAGATGCCGCGGGAGTGGCAGTAACCGACGGCGGAGATGAGCTGGTGGAAGTAGCGGCGGCTAAGGTCCTCGCAGAACCTGCCCTTGGAGACCTTGGCGAAGAGCTCGCCGCCTTTGGCGAATTCCATGACGAAGAAGATCTTGGATTTGGTGGCAAGGACCTCGAAGAGGCGCACGATACAAGGGTGGCGAAGACGGTGCATGATAGCGATCTCCCTCTGGATGTTGGCATTGAGGCCTCCCTTGTGCAGCCGCTGCTTGCTCACCACTTTGATCGCAACGCTCTGGCCCGTGCCCGTGTTCCTCCCGTGGTACACTTTCGCGAACGCTCCGCATCCCACCAGTTTCCCAACCTCGTACTTCCCGAACAGCAAACCACGGCGGTTCTCCGGCGGAAACTCCACCTGCGTCTCTGTAGTATCGACCATTTTAAAATCCAGCTTCTTCTTCTTCTTCTTTTTTTTTGGTGTGTGTGTGTGTGTGGGTGTTTGGGGTTAATTCCGGTAGCCAGAAACAGAATTATGGGAAAGCATAATTGGTAATCAACGCCGTAACAGAACGTAGAAGAAAAACAGAGAGTGTTGTTTATTAATAGAGAAGCCAAAAGTTTTGAAAACTAAAACCAAAAGAAATGAATAAGAAAGAGTAACAGATTAAGAAGGGATCAGTTAGTTAGGGAGGGAGGGAGAGAAACAAATTAGGATAAGAAGAGATAAGCAAAGCTCTGTATCAAGAGAGTTGTTACATATATACTATTACTCTTCAATCATCATCTATTGAGGTAGGAGATGAGGGTATTTCTGTAATTCAATGGTGTCTTTTTTTTTTCTTTTTCTTTTTTTCCTTTTTTTTACTTGTATGCTTTTTTCTATGTGTCCAAGACGTGAGAGATTTTCTGTTAAAGAAAGAAAAAAAAAAAAAAAAAAGAGAAATATTAATAAATGAAAAGTTGAATTAGAATTTTACAACCATACAGGTGTCTCTCGGCTGCGGTTGTCGTCTTGATTTGGTATCTCCCTTCCCCCAATGGTTTGGCCTGTAGGAAGGATAAATAAATAAATAATGAAGAAGAATATTCCTTTAATTGGTCAAAACGAGAGATACCCATTCTTCTATGAAGCTAAGCTTAGCCCGAGCAACACTTCTCCTTTAACTGGATGATATATTATTATCCACTTTAGAATTTTAGTCAGTTCGACCAGTTTCATATCTCAGTCGGAAATATTATTATTTGCTTAACAAATATTTTTCTAAATTGTTAGTCTACCAAACTCAAGTTTAACTTGGTTATATATATTTGGGATATTTATACTTTTGGAATATAAAATATGATTCTTATGTTGAATTATGCTTTTGGAAAATATATGCAAGTTTTACACTTGTTTATTTCTATTTATTTACTGGTGGGTATTATTTATATGATTCTTATGGGGAAATAAATATATATATATATATATATCTTTGCATAATATATTTGATTCCTTTTGAAGAAGAACAACAAAATTATTACCGTTTTAAACTTCAAATTGATTATTTTCAATATACACGGTATGTTTCCCATGACACACAATAGAAAAATACTATCTTATTGGAAGTGAGCATATATAATTGACTAAACAATGTGTGCATAACCACAAATAATTATGTCCTAAGTCTACGAGTTTAAAACATCCAACTCAATATTTGACATATATCAGCATTTCATTGCATTGTTCGAAACATGATCGATGATCGGATATATATATACATTAAAAAAAAAGGATTAACAAAACAAAACTGCTAGTAGTAAGTATTTGGGTTGAATTTTAATCAAACACCAATAAAAATTAAAAATAATGCTGTGTCAATTTTTAAAGAAAAAACTACCACGTGAGCTACCCACCGCATGCATTACACGGTGTTGAACAAAATATTCATCAATTTCTATTAAAGAAAAAAAAAATTGTGTAATTTATACAAAAACACAACAAAGAATTAATAAAAGAAAAGATAACGGTACGTTACTATTATTTTTCGCTGTCACGCTGTGCCAATTTGTACATATAAAAGAAAACAAAACTACAAACTTTTTTTCTTCCATCTTCTAAAGTCTAAACTAAAAGACATGTTTCTTTTTGTACGGAAATTAGTATTAAAGGGAATTTTTAAAAAGAAAGAAAAAGAAACAGACAAAGCACCGCGTGAGAATAATGTACGAAAGATTGATATATATATATATATATTTGGTTGTGAATTATGATATGCTAACTTTCACAGAAGCTTCTTTAATTTTGGGAGGAAGAAGAAAGAGACGAGAAGCTCCTTCTATTAATTAATGAGATGAAAAGCTTTGGCTCATCACCTTTTTAATTTGTATTTATAAAACTATCTCTCTCTCTCTCTATATATATATATAGATACAGTTGCCCCTTTTTCTTCGTTGGTTCGAAAGGTTGCTCCATTGAAATATCTTCTGATGATCGATGATTCTGAATAAAGCTTTGTTATTTTTTTTTATCCCATGCAAGGATTCTACATAAATATACATATAATTAATGACCAAACTTTGTAAATTAATTACCCATGTCCACGACCAAAGTTAACGGTATATATAGAATATGTGTGTGTGATTTACAGAAATTATATATACTGTATACCTATATACGAACTCAACAAAAATGGTGAAAACAGATGTATAAGCAAACATGTTAAATATGTACATGGTGTAGTATCTGTTGTTTTTAATTAGGGAAACTGATGAGATCAAAACCACGGAATCAGTTTATGAATTAAAATAATAATAATAATAATAATAATATGATGAGGTTCCATATATATTAAACACGTAACGCAAGGAAAAAAAATTATAAATAAACAATTGGCTTTCGTGTAGGAGAAAGAAACGTACGATAGCATATTTTGGTTTCTCCCGTAAGCATTGTCTTACGTTTCCGACGACTATAAATATTATTATTTAATTTTCTTAACACAATATAGTAAAATAGTACTTGTTTTTTTCTTTTTTTTTCTGTAAACCGTAAAATAGTGCTTGTGATTATTTAGATATTGCCCTGAACCTGAAGTAGTAGATATGAGTATTTTTGATAATTGTGAACCCAGCGTCATCAATATTTGTTTAAAATATAATTAAAGATTATTTCTGGCAACAGAGACTAACATAATTAATAAAATATTATTTACACACGCTACCATCATCGTCTTTGTTTCACGAAGATCAGTTACAAAACAAACACTTATTTAACCTACCTTACGGACATACATCAATCAATACTCAATAGTAGAGAGACACATGCCTGTTTTATATTATCTTGAGTGAGTTCTGTGTCTTGCCGAATATTATTTAGCTTGGTTTATTTTTATTTATTTTAATGTAGAATATTCTTACAACTAATTTAATGTGTTCTTTTTTTGTGGTTGATTGAAGACGATGGATGCATACTAGTTTAATACGGAGAAATTTTATTATTGATCCGAAGTGATTCTGCAATTATATATAAAAAAGTGTTTGTGAAATAGAGATTATTAGAATAAGAAGTAAGATACGTCAGGGAAGTATCTAAATTTGTTAAAATTAGCGCGAAGAAACAAATTGTTTCGAAGTTAATATGCAGAGCTGGTTGGAACAAAATCCTAAAAAAAAAAAAATTAAATAATAGAACAAATGTCAAACTTGATTGATTGGTAGGCCAAGTCATTTTTCGAAAAAATAGAAAAAAAAAACTCGTTGATATTTTAACCACATACGCTAATTACTACTGACTCCATGTTAAATTTTGGATGATAATATAAAGGGTAAAATAAATAAAGAGATACGGATAAAAATCAGTAGACGAAAAAAAAGCTTTGGAGGATACTCTCTCTCTCTGTGGCCATATGAATATTTTTTTTTTGTTTTTGTATAGACTAACGATTCTTGTCTTTAAATGTATCTGTACAAACGGATTTACATAAATACACACTACTGAGCTTTAGGCTAGCTAGGAGATAAGATTACACATCGATCGAAGGTCCAAAGGTGAGGGGGACGTGGGAGCCCGCAAATATAAATTAAATGATCCCTCGGACATGGGAACATGC